AATAGAATAGGTTTAGATATCTTGGTCACGTTATTACTGACAGCATGAAAGATGATCTAGATGTTGAGAGGGAGCGCAGAGCGCTGGCTGTGAGAGGAAACATTAGCCCGTAGATTCACTCGTTGTACAAAACAGGTGAAAGTTACGCTTTTTAAAGCTTTTTTTTGTCAGTCAATGTATTCGAGTAGTCTATGGGTTAGATATACACAGCTTACATACAACTCAATACGAATACAATACAATAACATCTTCAGGATGCTGTTGGGACTGCCACGGCACTGCAGTGCATCAGTGCATCATTGCAGGGCATGTTTGCTGAAGCGCGAACAGATGACTTTTATGCCATTAGGCGTAAAAAAGTGTCGTCTCTGCTAAAGCGAGTGCGTGACAGTGGCAATGGCATCCTGAGGATGTTTGCCCATCGTTTTGACTGTACAATTTTAAAGTTTTGGGTAAACATTACAATTGGTCAAATTAAGTAATAATTGTACATTTTCCAAATTTTAATATATACATTTTCTGTCAATATCTCAAAATTCAATGTAATCATACTAACATAGTTCTAACGTTTTCTTTTGTAACTAACACCATTATCTTATGGGCTATGACCTGAAATAAATGATTTATTATTATTATTAAGATTTATATTGCAATATTTCAGCATTTTTCTGTCATACGATACAAGATCGAAACCTTTGGACAGATCGAGGAAACAAGCATACTCGTAGATTGGCGTCTTCCAGGAGGTATAACACTGAAACAGCGAAACTGGAAGGGTCAAACCTCGTAACTTAGATTTTCAACTAAGATTTAATGACAAAATTGTAAACACAGACGCAGGAGTTGCTAAAATATTTGAATTTTTTTTTACTGACATTCCACTTTTGACTACTAAGTCGTTAAATTCATCTCCCACCGCCGCTGAATCCTTACTAAAAGAAAATAATGCAGCTAGTATCACTAATTTAAGGTTCCGTCATGTATTTCCAAACGATATTGTTAAAGCCTTTAAGTCTATACACATAAAAAATACTGCTGATCTTAATGGTCTTTCAGTCAGAGTAATTAGTTCTATAGTTGATTGTATTGCGCCTTATTTAGCATGTGTCTTTAATAAATGTGTTGATGATGGTGTCTTTCCTGACCTCATGAAGCAAAGTAAAGTTATTCTACTTTTCAAATCTGGTAGTATTTCTGACCCCACCAATTTCAGACCTATATCAATACTACCAACTCTCAGTAAAATACTTGAAAAAATTATTCTAAATCAGATGTGTGCACATTTTTATAGTAATAAGTTAATGTCTCCTAAACAATTTGGTTTCACTCGGGGTCGCTCTACAACCCACGCCGGTGTCGAGTTGATTAATCATATATTTGATGCATGGGAAGTCTCACATGATGCTATTGGTGTATTCTGTGACCTTTCCAAAGCTTTTGATTGTGTGCACCATGATACACTGGTCAGGAAACTTCGCCATTATGGTGTGGCGGGACGTGATCTCGACCTTCTTAAATCATATTTGCGTGGTAGGGTACAGAGGGTCGATGTTAACGGTACGAGATCGTCAGGATCTGCAATTAGCATGGGTGTCCCTCAAGGTTCAATTCTAGGCCCATTTTTATTTTTAGTTTATATTAATAACTTACCTAGCCTTATGGAGGGTATAAAACATGAGATAGTATTGTTTGCTGATGATACTTCCTTATTATTTAAAGTTAAAAGGCACCAATGTTCCTACGACGATGTGAACAATGCTATATCTAAAGTAGTTGATTGGTTTGCTGTTAATAACCTACTTCTTAATGAGAAAAAAACAAATCGTGTGAAATTTACATTACCCAATGTTAGAGAGACGGTTACAAACATTGTAGTTAGAAACGAAAAATTGAATCTTGTGGATACAGTTGTATTTCTAGGTATAACGTTATACTATTATTTATTTATACCATATTTATTTATACTATATTGTATTGTTATGTGTTGTTCATATTTATTCATAGTTTAGCCCATCGGCGAAAGGTCGCGGGTCTGTCGGTTTTTTACAGATTATACTACGGAGAGTGTGCCCATGAGCTCCACCAGCTCATTCCATCCGCCCCCTTTTACCATCGGACATCTAGACGAACGGCGGGATATCACCCTCACCTGGTTGATATTCCTTTAAGACGTACTAAGCGCTTTTCGTCATCTTTTATAATGCGCACAGCCCGTGACTGGAATTCCCTGCCTGCGTCTATTTTTCCGAGTACATACAACCCGAATATTTTCAAGGTGCGATTGAATAGGCATCTTCTGGGCGAGCTCGTACCAACGTAGACCTCATCTTTGCTCTAGGGCTAGGTAGTGGTCAAGAGTACGTCCATTATTATTTAAAAAAAAAAAAAAAAAAAAAAAAAACATTATTTTGAATTTGAATTTGAATTTGAAATGTAAGTACTCAGGTAGACTATAGTTATACACGGACTTTGCTAAGGCTTTTGATAGAGTTGACCACGAGATACTTTGTAGCAAGGCATATATCATCTAGGTATTCATGGCTTACCTTTGCACTGGCTTAAATCTTATTTGAATAGACGGTCTCAGATTGTTGCCATACATGACTATGACTCTATTTCTTTTGACTGTACGTCAGGTATTCCACAAGTTTCTAAATTAGGCCCTCTATTGTTTACATTGTTTATAAATGACCTTATTAACTCTGTTAACTCTAGTTGCCTCGCTTATGCTGATGACATAAAATATATATTCCTTAATATATACGGTAAATGACTGTATCAACCTACATGTTGAAGTAGACTGGCTCTACTATTGGTGTATGAAAAATAAGATGTCCTTAAATATAGAAAAATGCCACATTATTACATTTACTAAAAATAAATTATATATTCAGTACGAGTATATCATAAATCATCAATCAAGGAGAATGTTTCATAAGAGGGGCCCTCTTATGGAGCACTGTATGCCGCCTCTTTGAGTCCCAGCAGTGACTTGTTCGCCAAGGTAGTTGAGCGTGACTTTTCTGTTCTCCAGGTAGCTGCATATTATTCTGAAGACCCAATCGTCCGGTTTCCCCTCCTCGATTCCACTGACAATTGTAGGCCACCATGCCCCATCAAACGCCCATTCAATGTGCAATGCTATAAGCGCCACTAATTTCTTCCGTTTGAGGCCATCCCGGTTATATGTAATCGCGTCATATAGAGAGTCCTCTGTGCTTCTCTTTAGCATGAATCCATATTGTCGGTAGCTTATTCCGCCATTCGTGAACAGCTCCCAGGATAGTGGGTTAAAAATGAGCTTCCCCAAGACTTTCCCCATTAGGGCGCGTTCCCACCATGGCATGACGACAGATTGTCGTGCAGTTACGGTGTCGTGGCTTATAAATTTAAATGAAGTTGTTCACATATAGCACGACACGATTAACTGTTGCTCACGATTTTTTATCGTTACAACAACAAACTGTCGTCATAGTGAGAACAGCTATAACGACAGTCGTCAGACGATAAAAAAACGCCACGATAAAAACGCGACGACAGATTGTCGCAGCTCCAATTGTCGTCACGTTTTATTGATCGCTGTCCGCACGTATACTGCTCCCTGCCCTCCCCTCTCGTACCCCGCGCCCTCTGCTCGCTTTGCAGTAGCGTTGGGTCCGTAGCCAGAGATGGGCAAACGCCCGGGTTTTAACCCGGCACTTTGTTAACACTGTTTAAATTGATTTAAAACCCGAAATAGAGGGCAAAAACTATTTACGTCTAAATATTTGTTGTGAATTGAGTTTTGTTCAAACTTAATTACACATATTATTACAAAATATTTGTTGCTTTATTATCAGGACAGTTCGATTTACCTTTCTGTTGAATAGATTCGCTTGAAAAGTTCATCAATAAAGAGTAGTATGGAATTATTTATTTCGGACCATGATCCATAATAATGTTAGTAATACAGTAAATTTTACTTGCGTGCTATGGCTAGTCATTCATTTTATTTAAGAGCCATGCTCTTGTCGGTGTAGCCTCCTCCACTCCTCACGGTCCATAGCCAACTCCTTGACCTCCCTGTAACTGCTCACATTAACCTTTCTTTTTATTTGGTCACAGAATGCCATTCTCGGTCTTCCTCTCTGTCTCCTTCCTTCCATCTTTCCCTCAACAACAACCGTCAATAGTTCGTCGTTGCGCAACAAATGTCCAAACATTTTTCCCCTCCTATTCTCTATCGTCTCCGTCAGGCCTCTCCGTTCCCCAATCCTCTCCTATGGTTAGTAGAATACAAAATTATACAAAATTACTTAATTAATTATAAAGTGATACAAAAAATCGTTAGATCGTATGCACTTCAATCAATCATCATTGAGAATCCACAGGATTTACAGGTGGTGGGTATTATGTGGATATGCCTCTTCTTCGTGTAATAAAAAAATTGAAATTTGTTACAAGTTATTGTATATTATGTTGTTAGTGTTTGACCATTAGATGTTTTGGAGGGAAAAGTGTCGTTTTTATTTTGACTTTCAATTATTTTGTGAAATATAGTTTAAAGTGGAATAGGATAATACTATTGTGCCTTAATCGAAGATTAAAACGCGAAATTATACGAATCTCGAACTCAAATACCTACCCGTATCGGCCCTTTCTAAGGAATCCCGAGTCAATCCAAGCACGCCACCTCGAATTGCCTATTCTCTTTGTGGCGGCCATATTTACAGAAACATAATTAAACGAAGACATGGCTCAAAGGACTTGTATTCAAGCCAAAATTATTAATAATAAAAAAATAAGCAAGGTCGATCAGAGGAGAAAACTGTCAAAAACTTGAAACTTCCACATTTTTCAAAATTTTGCCGAAGACGTTGCTACCTACCTATCTTTTTAATTTAAAAATTTATAAATGACATGTGTGACTAGCTGATATTTATAATAAAATCCCTTGCAAGTGTGCGGTCGTTGTTGGGATTTTAAGTATTTGTTCTCAACTTATGTTGTGGTTGTTTATTAAACCGTGCCTATTATAAGCTGGTAAGCTTAATTTTCTATTTAAACTTATATATATTTTGATTTAAGCAAGTTACATAATACTATTTTTCATTTTAGAGATGATTTTTGAGGTGGGGGTAGGTAAATACTAAAAGTGGTATGTGTAAAGACAGGTCTTTAACTTTATATTCTTTAAACTATTGTCGGCGTTGGCTGGAGACCTCATGTACCTCACCTGATGTATTAAATATTGTCAATTAACTGGTGCGTCAAAGACGTTTTACTGCAACAGCCCTCGCTATGGATGTCCAACAGGATGAGTGGCTGCACTTGCCAGTACCACTGCCAGTGAATATACTATTATAATAATACTTTCATTATATATGGTACATTCACTAATACATGGAGGTTTATTATTTTGCATTGGCAATAAACTGTAGGTTGAGAATGGTACATATTGGGTACACAATCAAGTATGTCTAAGTGTACATATAAGTGCAAACCGAGGTGAACTCTGTAGCTTTAGGCCATGGCCTAATTATTGGCTTACACAGTTTGATAATTTTGAATGTAACAACAAGCATGTTATCAAGATTCAAGAACCTTTTATGACTGATGTTTATGGCACACAATATTGTAAACAATTTGAGCTCAGTGGGCACGAGCAAACAGAATGCACAAATATGGGTAAATAAGAAAACAAGCTGAGTTCAGCCATGTCGAGCATGTGTAGCCTGTCGAAATCAACAAGCGTTTAAATATAATATAAATGATTATGGAGATGCTGACATTTGTGAAAAAAGTTGTTGTTGTGAAAAATAGACACTTGCTTTTGTATAAATTTAGATTTCTTCTGGGACAGGTAGAAGCATGGGGTATCAATTCATATAAATTAACTTTAGTACACATTTATAAATGGCGACACTTGCATAAAATAAAAAATATAAAGCATTGAAACTAACTAACATTTTTTACTTTAAAATTTTAAAAGTGCAGACTCAACTTCTTTGCGGCTTATTATAAATGTATGTTATTATAAAAATGCCTGAACATGAATAATACCCTTGACAAAATGTGATAGCAGCCATCTATTGCCTTTTTGAATATTAGCACAATCGCATCGCAGGTTTACTTCGTGCCATCTATTAATCAAACTAGGCATCCAAATAAGCAGAGTGACAAGTGTGAAATTTCTTTGTATGAGATTAGGCATCTGTACTAGTATAGTATTATATTGTCTGTGGCATAAGTAATTTTCTATTGGGAACATACTTATTCAACTTTGTACCCAAAATTTGTCACCAAATTTTATACTGTGGTGAATACTTAATTATACACATTATTGAGGTCTTAGGTTTTTGCGATTGTTACACATAGGAAATGAAACTATTTTTCCGGATTTAAATCGCGTACATTTGTTTTTTCAAACAAACCAACAAAACAAAACAAAGTCAACCATGACCATGGGACCAGTAAAGGGCCCGAAACGTCGATTTGTTTGAAAAAATAAATATACACAATTTAAATCCGGAAAAATTGTTTCATTTCCTATACACATTATTGTTATACCTTACGAAATATATTATCGCACCCTTCATGAAATAATGGCATAAGTGGAATATGGTAAACATTTTATTGCTCCATTATATACAGAAAAATATAACCCACATCTTCTCCAATTGGAGATTAGGTTCAGAAAAATATAACCCATATCAACTCCAATTGTGGAGAATGTGCTTATAGTTTCCTATTTTTTCCTATTTTTCCTATTTCCTATAGTACCTGATGGAGCAATAAATGTTTTTGACGTAAATCTACTCGTGCCATTCTTCCATGAGAGGTGCGTTTTATTAATAATTTCTTCAGTTCTTTGTTAATCTAACAAAATTTTAATGGTATTAATCGAGTGCTTACTTGTTAGTACAGGAGAGTATGTTGTATTGGAGTCACAACTCCTCCAAGAGCTCCTTAAATAATTCAAGTTTATTTTGTCTTTCTTGTTAGACTGTCTCATATGTTGTTAGCCTATTACCATATATTAAAATCCTGTATTGGTAACTGTATATTATTATTGTTATTAGAGTGGCTTCATTCGGGGCATATGTAGCCCCTCATCACTGTGACCACCAGTTGATCTATTGTGATCACCACTAATTACTGTTCGGAGCCAAGGCCGACAGCATTGAAGAACTGAAGGACTTTCCTGGCTCCGACATATTTAATGTCCTCTGGTTGTGGCATGTGCCTTCCCAGTATGGATCTTTATTCGCCCATCAGGGCGTAGAATGAGCAGGAGTTTCATCCGCCTCGTGGCAGAATCTACACTCTCTATTGTCTCTCTGGCCCAATATTTGACATGTGCTTGTTCAAGCCACAATGTCCTGTTAAGACTCATGTGAGCAATCTGATGCCATTCCTGTCTAATGACAGAGCTTCTCTACAGTGTTTCGTACTGTAGGCAGTTATCAGGGTTTTTGAATGCTCATGACCCTTACTCTGTAGCCGCACTTCTCGGGAGACGTGTGTGCTCTCGTTCAGCAGAGTGAGCTTTGCGAGGCTATATGCTATCCCTATAAAGGGTTCGGGTCCAATAAAGGTTTCCCTAGCACCAGCCTTTGCCAGTTTGTCTGCTGCCTCATTTCGCAGGCCTCTTTATTCCTTTTACTGAGAGCGTTCAGTATAGTCACACAGTTCTCTACAATCCTCGATGTTTGGGTGACAGAGGTTAGTGCTTGTGGAGTGGCTTGACTATCTGAGTTTATGTAAATATACTTGTTAACGTAGCCTTTCTTCAGGTTCAAATCCGCACAAGCAATTATGGCGTACATTTCGTCCTGAAAGATAGAGGAGTGTCGTCCCAAATTCAGCTTATAGTTGAGCCTGAGTCTACAGCCGTGTATACCACAGCCTATGTTGGGTCCCATCTTAGACCCATCGGTATACCAAAGAAGGCTACCGTCCTTCCATGAAGACTGTTGGTTTTCCAGTCTTCCCTAGTTGGAAATTGTACCTGGTAGAGTTTTTCACAGTTTTGCTTGGGAAGCATGACATCAGAAGTCATTCCCAGAGCAGAATGTTCCAGAATTGAGTCCTGGGTTGATTTCAACGTCTGGGAGAACCATCTGATCCTTAACTTGGTGGTGAGCCTGTACATGCTGGTACCTGCCTCCTTATTTATGAATATATGCAAGGGAGTCAGATTCAGTAATGCATTTCGGGCCGCCCCCGGAGTAGTGGACATGACTCTCGTTACTAGAAGGCACGCGATGCGCTGTAGACTGCTCAATGTGGCAATAGTGGTTGTTTGGCTGACTTTAGCACTCCAAACAGCAGAGGCATGTTACTATGGGCCTCACTATTGCCTTGTATAACCGGAGAGTCATCTTTGGTTTTAGACCCCAACGCTGTCCCGCCATACGACTACAGATACCTAAGGCCATCTTGGCCTTGTTAATCGTGTTAGCCACATGGCAGTTCCACCTTAGGGTTTGATCTAGGGTTATCCCAAGACATTTAACTTCTGCGGAAAAACTCACAATCCTGCCACCAAGGATCGGTTCCACTAGTTTATCTAGTTTCCGCTTCCTAGTGAAGGGGACTATGGTTGTCTTTTCCGCGTTAATAGATAATTCGTTATCTTGACATCACGCGGAAATGGTGTCAAGAGCTCCTTGCATGAGTGATGATATGGTGCTTTGGCAGTGCCCTCGAACTGTGAATGTCAATATTCAGTTCGACCAACCTATACTGGAGCTGATCCACAGCAAGGGTCCACAGGAGAGGAGAAATTACCCCACCTTGCGGGCAGCCCCTGACCGTGGAAGCCGCCACAAGCCGGTCCCCAGTAACTGTACATACACTCATATCTAGAAATTACAATTACATTTTAAATTGCAAAACTGAATGTTTCCCTTTAGTAAGTATTTGTGTTGTTTATCAGGTGCCGGAGCATTCAAGCGGCGTTAATAGGCCCGTGGCTGTTAGATTGAATTTCATGTGGAGCGTTACATAGTATGCCATTCTGACTTGTAGTGGTTTTATGAAATGTAGTGTTTTCCATTGTTGTGGTTCCAACTTCCAACTCTATCTAAAATGTTCTGCTGTTTGTCCAAGTTTTTAAGGACCGGTGTGTGGGAGGTATGTGTGGTGTCTGTTTCCAGAAAGCTTGATTAACTGATTCAATTATAAATATAATATTATCATAAGGATTGGCGGTTATTGGTGTACTTAGTATCATTGTTGACACAATTTCCAAGTACATTTATTTCTGTATTGATAGTTCTGCATGTTCTGGCACTACATCAATCAACTAAAGAATAAAATAAAATTGGCATATTTTGATATACAGAACTACAAACAATTACAATAAATAGCATAATAATAATAATCTCAGTACAGAGTACTAAAAAAACCGACCTCAAAAGTAAGCGGAATTACGTCTATTTGCAAAGTTTTATTGAAATATCCCCTAGTTCGCCACTATACAGGAGTAATAGCAAAATCAACCATTAAAGTAATTGCTCCTAAATTAAAGTTAGGCGCTATTTATAAAAATGAATCTTCATGCGTGAACAGCCACCCTTCGAGGTGGATGCTTTTCTTCAAAATGAAATGGGACCACTATAGAAGTACCCCCTTTCTAACAAAAAAAAACATGAAAATCGGTTCACAAATATCGGAGTTATCGCGTAACATACATACAAAAAAAAGAACACAGACGAATTGAGAACCTCCTCCTTTTTTGAAGTCGGTTAAAAACAGTATCAAAACAAAATAGTGATTGTAATAAAACAAAGTAAATAAAAATAAAAGTGAAAAAAAATGTAGGTTACAAGTCTCAGCATCTAAGGACTAAGTAATAGCCCTTGCTGTTATATTGTTCTTCATCATAGACTGGTAATGTAAAAAAATTAAAATATTAATAGTTGCATTTTATGCACGCTTAGCAGTTTATTAATTGTGGTGTGATATGGTTCCTTCTAGACACAGAGTGACTAGAATATCTCTTGCAGTCATTGTGAACGTCTGTATAACTTTATTGT